CACAAGCTGAGGCTGTGTGTGTAATATGTCACATGCTGGTGGCAGTGGTGGAATTGAAGAGTGTAGTTGACAAATGCTGGTTGGGAATGTGGTGTGACAGTTCTATTTATTTTAACTTTTTTTATTTATTAAACAATGAGTAAAGTAACAACCAAAAGAGAACAAACAAAGATTTTGATAACAGGATAGTAAAAAAGGGCAAAATGTAAACATCTCCATTAAACATAGACGGTAAATATAGAATATGCATATATTGAGTAGGGTTATAACCAAAGAAGATACCAAAACTAAAAATGTGAATATAAGATAATGGTTAAGAGGAGAAAAATGGTAGAAGAAGAAAAGAGACCACATTACCTGCCTGGCCAGGTGGATTCCATAGGTGGCAGAGAGACCAACCTAAGGGAACTGGGAGTGGGAGAATCAAAGGATTATCAAGGGCAAACTGTTGTTAAACTTCCACATAGTATTGTTTAGCCTCACCGTGAGATATTCCATAATATGGATATCATGGATACGGCGTAACAAATCCAAATAAGAAGGTGGCGTTACATGACGCTATTTTAGTGCAATGAGACATCTAGCGACAGTAAGGATATGGTTAAATTGTGGAGGCTTTAGACATGCGGGGAATAGGGAGACCTAAAAGCAAGTGAACAGGGTCTTCCTGAATCACTACATCCATCAAGGTATTGTGTAGGGATACAACTTGCCAAAATGGACAGATTTGAGTACATTCCCAGTAAATATAAAAGAGGTTACTAACAGCGCTCATGCATCTCCATCAAATGTGGAGAATTGCAGGATTAATGGAATGCAGAAGCTCTGGAGTGTGATACCGTTGGAACAATATCTCATATTGATTCTTTTTATAGAGGGTACAAATAGATGTTTTAGTTGCGTTAGACCAAATATCTTCCCAGTCCTCCATATCCAATAGCATACCTAACAATGTTTCCCATTTAAGCATGTATTTATGTTTGGGGAAGGGATCTGATGAAATAAGGTTAATAGGCTCATAAATGTCCGAGATATGATGTTTACATGTGGGGTAATCTAGGCACAATTGTTTCAATTTAAATTACGTCTGGTGTATGACCAAATTTCAGTAGCATGAAGCATAGGGGACAATAAAAGGTTGTTCTTCAACCCTATAGAAAGGGACCACAAAAGAGAATTAAGGTGGACTGGTGAGATCCAGAGGCTTTCAATTTCGATTCACCAGTTGGGGGGATGAAGAGCAGGCCAGGAGGCCATATCGTGCAGGTGGTTAGCTAAATAATACTGAAAGATATCCAGGAAACTCAGCCCTCCTTAAGATTTGGAAGCCATCATAACCAGCCTAGGTACTCTATGCCTGGATTAATTCCAAGAAAAAGTAAGAAAGGATCGCTGCAGCCTTAGTAAATCTGGCAACGGTACTCTAATAGGCAATTTATGTGATAGCTCTATCTAGAACATTAATATCATATCTAATTTCCTCCCTATCCTTTGTTTTTCTATTCTATTTTTTATTTTTCAGCCTTTCATTTCTCGTTAATTTCCCAGGCATTTGGCAAACCCCCTACCACCACCCATGTTTTATTAATAGTTGCTGCCATCACATTTATTGACCAATAGCGAGAGTCCAAGATTTTGCATCCTATAGTTTATATTTGTATATCAAGATGCTCCAGATGTCTTGTAATAGCTGAAAAAATAGTTATTAACTGTATGTGTTTACATCAAGTGTGCTGGTGGTGTCACCCTCCTGCCAATGCTGTCTGGCAGATGATTAGGAATCATAAAAGTGGCTGGACAGAATGACAAGTCCTTTGACAGATAAGCATATGTGTATTTCAACTGTGTATTAAGGTCTTATTCTGGACGTTAGCTTTGACTTTGTCAGATGTACGGATTCCCTGCACAGTGATAGAAATGCATTCTCGCAGGATTTGGGATCCTTGGTTTTCCCAGGATCACATGAGAAGGCTGACTGCATTGTTGAGTGAATATTTTATAGCATAATTTTTACTTCTAAGGTTTTATATAATTTTTTTAACATTTAAATTAATGTTTTTTTGAATGGGTTGGGGCCAGGAAATAGTCGTTGTTATGCAGTGGGTCTGCTTTAAACCTGCAAATTTAGATTTACCTTAAGAGAAGATAGTAGGTGGATTTGGAAAACATGTATTTTCTATATATCTTTGTTTACACTGTTTCCCTTTATGCAAGATTTTTTTTTATGGTTGGTATTCTCTAGGGATAACGTATCTCCTGCAGTGCTTCTTGTTGCTCAGCAAAAGGGCCCAGAGCATCTGACAGGTTCTGTGTGTAGCATCTGTCCTGTTAATAATGTGGAAGTTGTCGTCATGGCAACAGCAGCATACTGATGTGACTTAAATTGTAGGGATGCCGAGGAGACAGTTGACATCTCCAGTTCGAGAGAGGCTCCGGACTAACAGACGGGTCGATGCTGCATGGGACACTAGGAATGAAATATTATAAGTGGCTTAAACTATTGCTTAGCATATCTTCTGTCTGCCCGATGTGATGGTGAAGGTGACCGGCCTCTATCCTGGGGAAAGCTTATTTAAATACTTGCAGGAGGACAATTTACCATGACATCCCTCAGGATTATCCTCTGCTTTAATATGAAATAACACAAGAGCATACAACCCCCTGTGTTGTAAAGAAATAGACATGGGCCCTTACACTGTATATAACTCTTAAATATTAGTATTCAGTCATAACCTTCATACCATGTTTAATGTTATCCTACCATTTACAACCACAGTAACTGAAGTGCACGTGTTGCATGTACAGTACAAGAAGCCATACTGGGCCACTTGCATTTTGAATTCAATTAAATCTTGCAAACCAAAGTTTGAAAACTCCAGCACACTTAACTCAGCAAATGTACCTTTTGTAAAACAAAGATTTTATATAAGTAGTTCAAAATACTGATAAAATATCAGTTACTAACACAGTAAACTATTAAAATGTTACATAAAATTGGCCCTAAATCATTAGAGTTTCCCTATTAAGCGCATGTTTAGCTAAACAGATTTGGATGTAGGGAGTAGGGAATGGTTATGATTTTTTTCTGTCTGTGAACCATTAGGAAATGTTTCCTTTAGTTTCTGTCCCAGAGACACAACAGAAAGTTTAAGAAAATCTCCCAAAGGGAGGGGAATTCCCCTCCTAAACAGTTTTCCTTAGAATAGGTGTCCCCATTGGAAGATTTACCCTGACCCCTTGCTCTTGTGACAACTCTTAAATTTTTGATTTTCCCTCACTTTTCACCAATAAAGTTAGAGGGAGAATCTCTCCAGCGGAAACACAGGTAGCAATGAAAACGTGACCGGCTGGCTAACCCATCCCCATTCTGTCCAAAACAAACAACGTTTTTCTCTGTAGATATACTTTACATTATTAGCTGTGCCTCTATGGTTGCTGCATCTCACTATGTTTATCACAACAAGCTCACATACAGCACGTATGCCGATACCCTCTAAGTGTGTCTGTTAAGAACACTTTGCATTTTTTTTTCAACTGAATCAGACTAAGGGTTTCATTACTGACTAGTACTAAACAGTCATCAGTTGATAATACATAAAACTAATTATGACTGCAATATTAATAGAATGGAGTCTGACATCTCAAAGTGTCCAATGAAAGCATTGTGTAACACCAGCGATCAATTTAAATAAGTACATTCTACCATTATGTTTCAGATCAAGGTTCGATGTACCAAAATAGCCCTGCTCTGAGCCAATAGTCTCCATTGAATCGACTTTTGGAGTTATGCTGTCCTTTTACTCTTTGCCTGGATCTTCTTAGATATAATTATAACGTCTTCTGTCTGTGCCTGCAGTTTTCTGCTGCTGAAGTACCCAATTATGCATGTAATAGAGGTGGCCATTTTGTTTATAGCCTATTGCAGAGTGCCTCTGGTGAATTTGTAGGCTCTGTTCATGGATATTGAATTAGCACAATATATGTTGCTGTGCTGCTAAGGAGAGATAGCTAGTTTAAAAAACAAAAACAAAAAAACACAGTACAGTACAATACTCCAGTACAATGAAATCACTCATAAAATACTTGAATTCCTTGTAGTTTAAAAGGTTATCTTTTAATTGTAGATAATGTTTTTTTATACAGGGACAAGTATTCAGTTTAATTTTACCTAGGTAGGGTGAAGTTTCTCTCTAGCTATACTTGGAATTATTTGATCCTGTATATTGGCTTGCATGCCTTTTATTGGACACTTTGGACAAAGTGGATTACATGTTGTGGACAAATTATACCATCTTGGATTATAGTCCATGTATGGTAAAAAATGTCACCATTCTTGGGCTATAATCCAAGATATATTTGCTTAGATTTAAATCTGTATAATGAGATACAGAACACTACATATCCTTGTCTTTTACATTTGCCTCTGAAATGTTCAGACTAATTTAGTGATTCATAAAGTATTAAAATCAGAGACAACCATGGAACTAGCTTTTTGAAAACAAGGTTAGCAGTGGCAACCTACATTTGACAGCAGTCCTTTAACAGTGATGGCTAGAAATTACAGCTCCTCCTCACAAAAGTGATTTTGTTTATAACCGTGTGTTCTTGAGTTACACAAAAATATACCTTAAAACCTGACAAATTAAATAATGGAACTATTTAAAAATCTTGCATAGCGTGGGGGGCGTACGAGAAGCACGTGGCCTCCTACGCTCGTTTACACTTATTTCTGTTACATCTAGAATGCAAGAAGTTCTCTAATTATACAGGATTAATAATATCAAAATGTTTACTGGCAGCCTTAAACCATTATATACTGCCTCCACAGCAGCAGTGCTTGTACAGAGGAGGACGAGGATGCTAAATAACCATGTCTTGACATCACATGTGAACGTATGCCTCTGCTTTGTTTGACTGTTATGTAATGTAAAACAAAAAACAAAAAATTCTTGATTGAAAAAAAAATCTTGTGTTCTGATAAAGTGCTATTTTCTTTACAGCGGAGTTTCGGGCATTTATGAAGAATTTGCCTACAGACCGTTTCCTTAACATCACAACAATTTCAAGGCTCTGGAATGCAGATCTCCACCTGACGCGGCGCTATGAGCAACTGAGAGCAGGCTTCAAACAACTGCTGACCAAGTCTCAGAGGCAAATGCGCCGTCTGATTAACCTGAGTAAACACTGCCTACGCCAGCCTCAGTACACATTACTGCGGGAGAAGTAAGAATGCTCACATCATCACAAGGGGGAACACAAAACTGGTCTTCTTTGAGGCCATGTATAAAGCTATGGTCATGTGTAGAGCTTAGTAAACCATGGGTACAAAGAGCTTCCTGAATGAGAGTGTATGAGAAACTATTTTGTTTCCCACAGCAGCCAAAGCCCCCTTTTAGAAACACATACAGGATAGGCTGATTGGTTATTATATAGATAAAGAACAGTTGTGTTTCTTTTCAAACCAAGTTATAGAAGTACAGCAGGAGGGAAGGAGAAGTGGGGACGTGGGTCCGAGACGACTGGGAGATTTGCAGCAGATTTGATTGCTGTGTGTGTAATAGCTTTTTTTTCTTTAACCATTTACATAATGCTGAGATAGTTGGCTGCACCATCACAGGGCACTGAATTGTTAGAATCACTCCCTGCCCCTAGAAGTAGCTTGCTATCTAATGGCCCTTTCACAGTCTCACACACAATCAGGGCCGGATGTCCCACAAGGCCAACCAAGGCCCAGTCTTGGGGTAGCAGTGAGTAGAGGGGCAGCAAGGGTGTGGAATTCCTCTCTCCCGGTGCCCCGGACATGCAGTGACGGGTGCCAGGCATAGTAGTTGTTTTCTGCATTTAGCCCTGCTTTGGGAAAGCAGAGCTAAAGCGGGTAAAGCCGCCTATTGTTTTGTACAAGTGATCCTGGCAATGTCGCCGAGATCAATTGTATGCAGCCTACAGGTCTGCCATTTTCCATGGGGGGGGGAGTGGTTGGCGGGTAGGGGGGCGCATTGAGGAACCTGGCCTTGGGGCAGCAGAGAGAGTAAATCTGGCGCTGCAGTTAAATTTGGGTGGAAGCGACCCAGTTAACCCGACACTGTGCTTCTGGTTTGTGGGAAGGAAACTGGAGCACCGACAGGAAACCCACATAAAACCATGAAGAGCATAAAGCTTTGTACAGGTAGTGATCGCAGTCATAAATGCAGTGAAAAAAAAGATCAGCTCAACAGAGGATCCAGTACCATTTAAAGCATATGTCTGGCCAAAACGTCTTTTCTTAGTTTTGTATACAGCTGGCAAGAATTAGAAACCTTGTCAGGTTTTTACTGCTATCCAAGGCTCTGTTAAGAGAGATTTCCCCACATTTCCTGCCCTGCTGACAACATTTTACCAGACAAAAGTGGAACTTTTCAAATGAAACAGACAGAATAAAAAATGTTTTTCTTTATACAATAAAGGAAAGCTAGAACCAATTTCATACTTTTTTTTTGTGTCCCTGTTGCATATTTTCCCTAACCTGTCTCATGAAACCGTTGTCAGGACAGGAAGTCAGGGAAAAGCAGGATAGCAGTGGGAACCCAATAGTTCTAATCCTTCCACTCTTTATCCACAACTACAAAAATAGTTTTGGAGTTTCGGACTTTCCATACACTCTATACATGAGCTCCACGCTCATGATCTGTGTGCTCTGACCATGCCAGCACTTCTGGTCATTCCATCCTCTGCTTGCAAAGTGAATGCAAAAATCCCAGTGCTATGGATACAAAAACACCATTATACCTTCTCATAAGCCTTTATGCATGAGGTGGTTTCTGACTGTCATAATTAGAGACTCAGGAGCACATTCAGCAGATATCACCAAGCCCAGTCAGACCAAACCAATTTGCTGTTAATGTTTATTCCTTTAAAATCAGGGTTATAATTATTGTTCATTATTTTCATTTGAAGTTAAGCAATCACAATCTTCCTTCCTTTCATTGTATCATTGGTCTTGGGTGCAGTTCTCATTTTTGATCATATGAAGCTAATGGTCTTGAGCTAGCCATAAACTGGGGTTATAACATCTGCCTATATTAAAATATGTGTTCACACTTAAATATAAAAATATAATTACAGCCATTTTAGCTATGGAAAGTAATGTATTTCTCATAACTAACTACAATAATAAGTCACTGGAGCAAAGGCAGACTAATCCATCTATTATATTAATGATCAGGGAGTCCCACATCCTATAGAGATGTATGCTTACAGTAAATTAGATTTATGCATGTTAGTGTGGGCAAATCATCCGGGAACACATGCTTTATCTCTCATATTGCAGTATGTTTCTGGAACCAAAAAAAGGCAGTTTTTAAATTAAAGCTTCCCATTTTCAAAGTCAAGAGACATTTCTGAAAACTGGTGCTTGCATAAATTGTTTCATCCTTTTGGCTGGAAATTTGTTTTTAGCTTCTAAACTGCAATAGCAGAGGCATGCTGTTTGTACCTAAGATCAAAATGCATAGAGACTGACTAGGACAGAAGAGCAGGTTGTAGAGCCATCACCATCTGCTGATCCACCATTGAACCTTACTGCAATATTTAGTCTGCAAAAGCCTGCCATGAGTCACATGTCTCTTCACCATAAAGTCGTGGTATTGATAGAAACTGGAAGTCCAAATCATAGACTTATTGTATTACTGTGGCCTTATGAGGATTAGAGTCCTGCAATCTTCTGATTTATTCAGTTATGAAGTTGGATTGGTAGATGGTCAATCCACTCCCTGACTCTTTTATCGCTGCTATCAAGCAACAAAACATTGCATTCAACATAATTCAATCTTATTTAGTAAAACAGTACTTGAAGAATGAGTGTAGAGCAGAATCCACAGCAAAGAATCGGACGTCCCAGATTTGTTTTTAACACATTCTATTTATGCCAGAACAGATACATGTATTGGTTCATATAAGCTAATTACATTTCGTCAGATTAAAAGCTTCTTATGATAGACTAAAGAAGTTTGCTTTTCGGTGCATGCTGCTTGCTTTTGAGACAGTTCATTGACATGTGCATTTTTACTGTAGTTGACCTCCTTCTGACCTTCAGTTAACCTTTTCATATGCTTCATAAACCTGCTATCACGCTCAGCATAGTAAAACCTTGCTAGATAGATAAACACAATCAGCAGGAACAAGCCTTTAGCAAACACTGTAACCAGAGACAAGTTTGGGCAAGGAATGGGAGGCAAGAAGGAGTTTAAATAGGGAAGTGAGTTCAATGATTGGTTGAAAAAGAGACCAATGAGAAGACTCAGATTGTCAATCGAAAATGCCAAACAAACAACCTTCCAGGTTGTCTTCCTAACAGAGCAAGGCAAAGTACCACAATGTGCCTGATCCCAGGTTCAACTCACAACAAACCCTCATATCTGCTTCAAACTGCTTTTGCATTTCCATTGACCTCTATATGCAGAGAAGCAGTGACCTAAAGCATCAACACAGGCCCTAAGGCTGAGCCTCCATGGGCACTGACTGTAGTATCCAATTGCTGTGCTTGCCTGGTACTCCAACTCCATTCAGGACCCTCTCTTGCCAGGAGATATAAAGTATTTGAATGGCTGGGGCAGGCTGAATGTGTGACATGCAGGTTGGCGTAAAACAAGCACAGAGCCCAAGAGTTTGCCTTACTGCACACTTTGGAACTCACCAGATGGGAGAAGCTGGTAGATGTCTGGAATCCCTGATATATACCTCCTTTTTTAGGTAAGGCTCTGCAGAGAGCAAAGACTATCTGTAAGCAGGAGATACTCAAACAAAAGCGATTCACTGAATTAATTCCAGTAAACTGAAATCCAGTTGATTGCTGTAGGTATGATCATTGCTCACCTCCCTGCTGTGTAGTTATCTAACTTATAATAATGCTACCCTTACATGGGGCAAAAAAAAATTGTTTGGTGTAATGTCACTTTAATAAAATATTCCTTTCCATATACTTTATAAACTGATTGAACTAAATGCTGATGTGCACTTTGCTCCTTATAGCACAGGCTGCCAAGTAGAAATCTGCATTGGCCCGTCCCGGTATATCTCATTTATTCAGTCATGTCTCTTTCTGAAAGAGCACACTATATTTGCAAGCATGCATGATATTTACTCAGAGAAATTGTGCATACCAGGTATAGAACACAAGATAAGGAAACAAGTGAGTGGCGCCTTTTTCAGCATGAATAAAACAAGATATAGAAATAAAAAACTAAACAAAAGTATAAGAGCATGAAAAAAAAAAAAACTCCCACGTTTCAATTTACAGTTGTTAAATCAGTTGTTAAGGAGACTTTGAAAGTCACTGTTCACTGTTGCTACATAGTTCTAAGTGCTGTAATAGAGGTGGATAAAAGGAAGCCGGTTTCAATCAGTGGCCTTCTTTGTTAGATGTTAGAACAAACTTAATCATTTTTTAAAATCTTATTTGATGTGCTGTTCTCACACAACGCCTCAATGTATCACTGAAAGTGCCATATTTCATCTATCAGCAGCAGCAAAGGCTTCTGGGTAGAGAAATGCAAATAGCAACATCTCACCTTTCTGCTGATCCATTAAGCATATGCTCACTGTGCAACACAGTCTGTTAAGCATGGCATATTGTAGGTTAGCTGCTCTTCAATGTATTTTTTTTAGTCCTTAATTGCTCTCCAAATGCTTTTTTTGGGGGAAAAACAGAAATCCCTTTGACCTTTCTAAGAAGGAGGCAATTCCCTGGAGAAGCCCCTAGTGTATGGGATACATCATCATGGCAGACACAATTAGATTCGGGTTTAATTAAAGCTTAATTATGTAATCACTCTCACCTTTAAAAAGGAGCTAGTAAATAGCTGAAGCCTAGCTAGACATCAAGAGGTTTCTGGAAAGAATTTACAAAGTATCTTCAGTTGTTACACTTGAAAAACAAAATGTATTTGCAGTACGTTAAATGAGTTTTTGTCACATGCTGTAAAAAGGAATTAAAGAAGAACTCTGTGAATTTAAACAAACTACCCTTGCAGTGGGGATACCCCTGCACTGCAAGTGTTAAAGGGACATTAAAGGCAAAAGTCTCCCCCTCCCAGTGCTAATGTAAGGACTTAATGATGCCTCTTAATCCGATCATCTTCTTCTTTCCTGTAGTTTTCAGGAGTCCCTCCAGTGCTGGTGCGGGTCTCCGATCCAGCGCCGACTCCTCTGTCCTCCTCTTCTCTGATGTCCCACGGAGTCTGTGTGGG